CTACTTGAAGTCTAGTCTAAACCACCTCGAGAGATCTCTAGCCACTTCCACGTGACCCTAGAGGCAGCTCCCGTAACAAGTGTATATTATTATATCTACTATTTCGATTTTATTTAATTACTTAACCCTATAATATAATCTTGTTCTCTATATTAATAGGGTGGTCCAATAGGCCCTAATATATTATGTTTTATATTAATAGGGTAATTTGACGGAAGGAAAGGGAATAGGAGATATTAGGTTTTAAAAAGAAATTATATATTATCGACATATTATAAGAGAAGGTGGATATAAGGCTTATAAGTGATAGATTAGAGATTATAATAGGATTCCTAAAGGACTTGAAGTACTAGAGAGTGAAGATAATCTTTTAAAAGGGATATGATATTATAATTAATTATAGCTTTTATAATATTTTGAAAGGAGTTGGATAGAAAAAGGGGGATTATTATAATAGAATAGAAAGTGTAGGGTTTTTATAGATATATTAAGGGATTTAATAAAAGGAAGGGTTTTGAATATAATAGATCTATAATATAAGTAATTTAAAGAACTTGAAAGGATTGTTTAGAAGATTGTCTATAAGTTTTAATAGGGAAGTTCAAGGAGGGGTAAGTTTTTATTTCCTTTTTTCATTTAATTTATTCAATTAGAACTATATATAGGTGCATTACATAGTCTTAGTATAGCTATATAGACTGAATCGATTATGAATTTACTATTACTACTATCTATGTACCTAGGTATATATAACCAAGAAAACCCCCTTCAAAATAGATACAGACACCACGCCTCCCCTCCAACGAGAATCGAGCATGCGAGATGAGATGCGAGATAGATTTCTTGGGTGGGATCGATGTGAGACCTATCTACCTACCTATCTTACTTATTTCTCGCACGCATGAATATTAGATTGATAGGTAATAGCTTCTATACGATGTACATAGGTGATTTCTTAATCAAGATATTTAGTAGTATTAAGTTAGGTATGTATCTTTAGAATAGAAATCCATAAATGTGAATGAATCAACCTACCTACCTACCTACCTACACCCATCATCCCCCAAGCCCCTCAATTCAAATCATCGTCTGTCCAGCCCAGGCCAGCCTCTCTTCTCTAGATGGGTAGTGTAGCTGGAGGTAGGTAGGTAGGTAGTTTCATATAGCCACCTGTATCAGCTCAACTCTTCTGGTGCCATCTCATCTCATCTTATTCTGTACATGTATATAATTATATATAGGGATATATATATATATATTTGCCCCCCCTTCCACGCAATATTTCGAGAGAGACAAAAACACACAAATATCAAAGTCATCATTTATTCATCGGTTCATTTTGGTGTCCGTTCGTTCGACCGTCCGTCCATCCGGCCAGACCGACCGATTGAGAAATCGAGAAACAGATGCAGTTCCAGCCTTGCTCTTTCCTTGTTAACCGCGCGACGCTGATGCTAGGTAGGGTTTGGGGGTGGTTGAGGTTGGGGTTTATTAATAAATTGAGGTAGGTATGTTTGTTGATTAATTGGGAGGGATGAATGGATGGGTATAAATAGATACCCCTCTCCCTACCTACCCATATATCTAGGTATACCTACCTATATATATCTTCATTTCCATTTCCATTTCCATTTTCATCAAAGACATCTACCCACCTCCCTCCCTCCCCCGTAAACCTTTTTTCATTTCTCCAAATCCCATTCCCCATTTCTAGATTCTAAATTCTACACCCCCCAAATCCTCAATTTCCATGTATTTAGGTTATACCTAGGTACCTATGTAAGGACGTGCGCGCACAGCCTCTAGCCGGTACTCGCTCCCGGTGACTGAAATCCGGAGTACAGTATTATAAATACCGAATCCTTCCTATAAGGCTTAGTTTATGTGCATATTTAATTCTTTAATTAACCAATTTGATCTGATCCTTTGGGAAGTTTTGGGAGCTGGAGCTGGAGGGTCTAGGTATGGATTGCTATTGAGGGGTTTTGGGTTGGGGGGTGAATGAGGATATAGGATTTATGATGTGTATTAAATAATTAATCGTACAATCTGCCAGAAGAATCGGATTAAAACTTAAAGAGTGATGGGCTGAAGATCATGTATGTATGTATGCATATACCTAACTTATATGTATAGATATCTTGGGTGCCGGCGGAAGAGGGTGTATTGTGATTTGATGTTGTATGGTGTGTTGCGGATAATTACCAGGTAGGTCTAAGGGTAGGTATTCTATTTATGGGTTTGGGCGTAGGGAAATACATTTATTAGTGTGGAATGATTCGATGTGAGAATTTTGTCGCTAGGTATTTATTGGGATAGTCGATGACTTTATCTGTGATTTGGTAGGGGGTTTGGATTCTGGTCGTGTAAATGTGAATGGGTTGTTGCTATATTGTTGTTCTTTGAGTTGGAATGTTCCCTCGAGAGCTCGGTTGTGGTTGGGATAGTGTTGGAATTGGATAATTGATATTTTAGGTAGGAATTATCATTTACCTAGTATTAAGAATGAAGTAAAGTCCATTTGTATCACATAATGTACCTAACCAAGGATACCTAGATAGAGCAAGTTGTGAATATACCGAAGAGGCACAAGCAACATGTGCGGCGAAGAAGGCATAGAATGAAAGCGGATGAGCCAAATCCGAGCCAGAACAAAAAGTAATACAGGCAGTCAATTTGCCAGTACTATATATAAGAAGTATCACTGGCACAATTTGTTTATCACAGGTTGCGGAAAAGTGACTCCTTTAGGAGGGATAGACCTCGAGGTAGGTTCTGTGGAGGTAAGCTCGCATAGGTCTGGCGTCTAATTAGCATCAGCCATTATGTCCTATTTTTGGTATTCCTTGTACTTTTAGACCATGATCTTCCTGTATTCAGTGTTAGTTTTAATTAAGGAAAAATCTGGGAAGTCCTAAAGGTCGGGTAGTTGGCAGCAATGTAAGGAGATAAGAAGAGCTCTTTGACTATGGGAAACGCTTTCTAACAGACCATGATGCAACCCTGTGACTATACTTAGAGCTTCTAAATAGCTGGCATGTTGCTATGCGATCTTCGAATCTTTAAAATTGAAGTAGTGATGATGGAAGTCTCTGGGGCCTAATTAATAACATATTCTGGTCGTCGTGAGAGTAGAACTCGCCAAATCTAAATTCAGGGCTATAAGCTGTTGAAAAAGATATAAATACAGAGACTAGGTTAGCAGTTACAGACGGTATGCTGTTACACTGTGCAACCTATCGATAGTGTCAGGAAAAGCACAACGCTTTGTAGTCATGGTTGCAGCTTGGAGGATGCGAGTACAGAGGACGATCATGCTATCTGGATGTATGCGAATAAAGACTTGGGGGTAAGCGCGATGGTCCGCATAGGTTGCATATTAGTAGTTGTTCTCGAGATGTGTTTTGAGTTGTGCTGATACTATTCAGGTGGCCGCTTCGATGTTGACTTTGAGGCCGGTAGCGTTGACTGGATTGATTTCGACTTGTTCACATTGAATATCTACCGATGGCGAAACAATGAAAATTGCATCCTGAAGTGGAATATAAGGAGAGAGCTCTGTGATAGGCAAGCGCGAGATTTACTTGGCACTTTGTGCTCCGTTGAATGACACGTAGCATGAGCCATTGTAGAAAATATTTGCCCCAGTGTCCAATCGTCATTCTGTTTCCGTGCTTCAATGTCTTGAGGGAAAGGTTCCGATAGAGGTTCGATCTCTGGTGATAGCTACTCCCAAGTTGTACCTTCAATTTCAACAAAGTTTATCGGTATAGCGTGCGTGGCTTTCCTAACTGATGATGTTCCCTGGCTTGAATCGATATGGCCTCTGTCATACTGATGAAGGGTGATACTGATGAAGGGTGTCAAGTGTACAAATGATCACCAGTGTACAAAAATTCCAGGGGCGATTGAGTTCTGGTAATCACAAGAAACCTTGTGGCATGCTGTTTTGGTGGAACTTAGGAAGGACCTCATAGACTGCTAGGGGGCCGTCTCCTATAGGAATTTTAGTTCGATATGGGTTATCTAATGGGATAGCCACAACAAACCGCAAGACACTCTCGCTGTCCTACATCCGCCCCAGATTCCGCGGCTCCAGTTACAAGATCTTCCTAAGTCGTCTCGATATAAAGTGTTTCCCTCTTCCACTCCTCGCAGACGTACTTGATAGAGTTCACACGTACTAAACGCACGCCCATCCCAAATTCTGCTAATTTCCTGACTGCCGAAAGTCTCCGACAGGAACGCAACTGCCACCACCATCATATGTTGGGTATCACACCCTGTATGGATCTTTTATACAGGACAATCACGGCGCACTCGCTTTCCGCATTAAGTGATGTTTTAACATTCATTTCTTGACGATACGTATCCTGCTCGCGGGTGAGATAAAACTCGGTGACTGTCATCTAAGATCTGTATAAAATCGAAATCAATAGTCAGAGGCCTTCGAGATCTTCCCGGCGATCGATTATTTTGGCAAATGAACTGTTCTGAGCCGATTGAGCTTTCCCTTGTAAAGAGCAGTTCGATATGGAATTTGCGATGAAAAAGAATAAAGAAGAAATTCTAATCCTCGGAGATGCTCAGAGATTACTACTGTTCGTACATTACGATAACCACTAAGCCAAAGTGTGGTAAAGCGATTGTTCGTTGCGCTTTCATTCGTGAAAAGCATTTCTCGCATTTATAATGATCCTTCACAGCATAATCGGTATACATAACAATGGAGTTTTATCTTTTTTTCATTGAGCATCCGTAACTACTAGATATTTCACTAGTGTCTAATACCAGCTAATTAAAGAGGTAATATGATATCTCATCAAATCATATTGTTTTGTAGTGATCTTTCCATTCCTTCCTCCAAGGGTATTGATCCATATCTCCAGCAAAAATCGTGCGATGTCATGTCATAAAATGCATGCATGCAAATAGTGTCATATCGTGTCATATCCCATTCCATCCCGTTCAAACCATTCGCCAACTCCGATGTAAATACTCTAATGAGCACTCATTGCACCCATGCTATCGTTCTTGGGTCCGGTCTTCTCCATTGACTGCGGGGTAAGGTACTGTTAGTCTTTGCTATGGTAAAATGTATGCGCACACACGAATGGGTAAACATACGGAACCGTGTTGTGCCTCTCCCTTCTCGAGAATGGTCTTGATGATATCATCCTCAACCTTGGTATCGAACTCGTTCACCAATTGAGACTCTGAAGCTTCATCGTGGGAACCTTGAGCTCCGTGCCTAGAGGGTTATTATGTTAATTTGATGATCAAAGGAATAGTTCAAGGCTTTATAGATGGTGTTCTGATGTAGAAGAAGGTGTTGATGTGAAGCTGAAGCTTGACATGGAGTGTGGGGTAATGATGAGGGAAAGAGCTTACTTGTGTGTAACGAAGACCTTGAAGAGACCAACAACTTGTGCAAGAGGAATGCTCTTGTCTCCCTTCCACTTCTTGAGATCTTCCTCGGAGTCTACAAAGACAATGAAGTCCTCATCGGTCTTGGTACCCTTGTAGTGAATCTTGGTTTGGGATCCTGAAGCCTTCATGATTGCGGTTGTATTGTTGTTGAAAGAAGATGTGGTATGTAGTTAAAATAATGGTTGATGGTTGATATTCGTGAAGTTGTTTGTTTGTCTGATATTTTGGTATGAAGAAGGGAAAAGTTGTAGAAAGGGAACGCGGGCTGGTTTTGTAGCTCAATCAGATTGAGTCAATTTGTTGGCAGCTGCACTTTTCGTTCCTGGCGTGGTTTCAACCCCTCATTATTATGACGTCACATTCCAGGTTTCATTCTAACCTGTCATCTCACACGACTCCTTTTTGACCACTTGGGAGTGGGGACGACTGGGTCTCATAGTTTCATTACTTCTTTCTTATTTTTGCTTGGAATGGTGAATCGTATGGATGAGCTTATATGATTTTTAATGCGTGTCATACACTCGTCGGCGCCATCCGTTTGATTACATTGGCTTGGGATGGGATGGATGGTGGGGTCATGAATAATAAAGGGGGTGCTACGTCACTGCCAAATTAGCCATTTACGATGGATGGATGTATTTACCAAATATAGCACAATTTTCAAAGAGAATTGATTTATCTCATCGTAATTCAAATTATGATAGCAGCCTCAAGAAATAACGCGAAGTAGTCTGGTTCGTTGGCCATCTTCGCAATTAAGCCAGCGTAAGACACACGTATTTCTAGATGCTTCTCTTCACAGGTCCAACAGTGCTTCTTCGATGATTCTCCTTTCCACCGCAGGAAGTTGAGACATCCTGTGTAGAGACATCTTCCATCATGAACGATTACATATGAAAATGAGCAAATATCTTACTCGAGGAGATATTCTCGTGTCCACTGTTCGTACATGTCAGAACCAATTCAGCCCATAGGATATGCTACCGAGGAAATTCTCACAAAGTCTATGACATCCTGCGCAGATTCAGGGCTGGGTTCTGATAGCCATTCTCTTAACTGCTTTTGCCCATCCGTTGTACTAGCAGTACGAGCCAGTTCCGGGACACTGTGACAGATATCGCTGAGCACATTTCTCGTATGTTCCGTCATGGTGTTACCGACGTGGCTAAATGGCAGAAGCTCATATTGAGCATCGACTCTTTCAGAGGATGGAACGATACAAACTTGTCTCTGAAAAGGTTGCACTATTGAGAGGATTTGCGGGACGGACATTAGAGGTAGAATTGGAATCTTGAAAGTGGACATCAAGCTAAAGTTATGTTAAAAAGAGCCATGTTTCAGTTATGATTTTTGACTCCAAATACCTGATTTGAAGATTCAAAAACTCTTTTAAGCCATTGTCTTCGTTACCGTCCTTTTCCCGAAGAAGAAAAATAATACCTACATTGCGGCCTCCAGTTTGGTGATAGAGTCTCTCGATTCGGGCGGACAGATTTGCGATGGGTTGCATATCTGATGAAGAAAGCAGCAGGACCCTGAAAAGCTCCTGTTCGCCTGTTTTGCTCTGCATTGGGAGTGATATATCATGGGTGTTCAGAGTCGTTTCTATCTATATGTCAGTGTTGGAAGCCAAGGATCATTTCAAACAACCCGACCTTTCCACTTTGGCATCTTTTCCGTCAGTAAAATGGAAGGCAATGAGGCCCATTGTTGTCTCTTGCGAAGTGATGAACAGAACATCGTTATTTTGTATGGGCCGTTTTATCAGCGTCATGCGTTATTTGAATGAGAATATTCGTACTGTTGCCTCCTAGGAAAGACGAACCTTTCTTAGCGCCATATTGGGAAACAACGAGACCTACGATCTACGAATTTTAGAAAACGACATTACAATAAAAACCACCTCAAAAAAAGTAGAAAGCACATGATACTTCTTGAAAGGTTTACATTTGATGGGTTGACATATATCTGAACATCTCAACCTTCTTTCTACATCATCCGGGAGAGAATGGATGAGCTCGGCGTACTTAAAGCTCCCATTTCTCCTACTTTGTGGACTTCCCTCCCCTTATTTTTATTTCTACGTGAGAAGTATACGTCACTTGCCTCCACAGCTACAGATTCCTCAGCATCCATCTTCCTCCTTGCATCTCTACTCATGGAATAATCTACATGTAGGTGCCAGGTGCTCCCCAAACGCTTTGCTATATATAGAAGGGGTGCTCTCCACCCTCGTGCAATTGTTATGTTCTGCAATTCGACTGAAATTCACGATTTCCACATCAACTTTTTCTTTCCATTGGCACTCCGAATTTCCTCCAACATCTTTTCAAGTGCTTCTACACGCTCTTGTTGCTTCTTCTGTGCTTCCTCTAATTCTTTCTGCCGCAGATTCAATTCCTCTTCGACTTTTTGTAGCTCTGCCAGTTTTTCCGCGTTCGAATCGGGTTTTGACTGGGTTTTGATATACTCGTACATCAACAAGCTTATGGCAACCGAAAGAATAAATGTATCGCCGATAACATCAGCAAAGAGATCAACAGCTCTGGTTTCCGTCAAAGGTCTAAATCTCCGTCTCCAAACGCTAATATTTTCTTGATTGTGATGGTGTGCCTTTTTCGCAGCCTCTTCCGCCTTGGTCTGCTCTTCTGTCTTTACAGTTGGAGTCTCCGCCTTTTCCCTGGCTCTCTTTTCGGCTTGTTTGTCCCGTAGCAGGTTTACCTGAATTCTCATATTCCATTGATGCATTGCTTGTCCACCTCTAGCTGCTATCGCTCGGAATCTCTGGTGCTCATGCGCCTGTCTCTTGATCCAGTTCTTAGAAGTGTTAGCATCCATCTTTCGAAATACAATATGGTCAGTCGATACATACTGCACCATACTTGGAGATGTGCCTCACGAAGAGGGATCCTAGTTTAAATAGAGGAAGTGCGACCATTATGATTGATTAGGGATCTTAAATGAGACTTCTATACTGCAGTTGCCATTGGCATATCGAAGTAGTAAGATTGACAGTTAATGAATTGCCATTGTAATGTGAATGTAAGCTCAGCCAAATATCTATGGATTAGATCCATAAATCCACTTCGAGGCAAGATATTGGGTAAGTACCCAGCAGGTAATTGAACTTAGTCAGCCTGGTTATTTTTTTGAAGGTGCCGGAGTGGATGGTGTAAGTGTTCTACCTGCGTTAGGTAAGCAAAGGTGGAAGGTTTTGTGGCTTTGTTGCTGTATCAACCAAAAAATTCAAGCTTGTTCCCGCCCAGACCAGCAGAACCCTTTCTTCGAGGCTGTTTACAATCAATTCGCATAACTACACGAGCAAGAAAAAAGTACTTTGTTTCTACACCCATCTTTTTTGATCTTATCAGCCTCATCATATTCACTGTCTTTAATCAGTTGATAACATTGACAGTAAATTGCTAAATACCCGAGGGAGAATGTGCTCGGGCAACAATTAAACCCCAACTGTAAGTCACAATTCTGCTTTCAAAAATTATACAACATTGGTCATGGAGGAAGTGAACATCCACACATTACCTCAATATTGGACACCAAAAATCAGTGTGGTAGCATTATCAGACGCAGAAGAAGCCGCAAAAAGACAACGACCATCTTTGACTCAGATTTCCGAGTTTTCCAATAGACATGGCTCCATGTTGGGACAATATCTCTATGGTCATCCAGGATGTGAGGACAAAGGGCACTTGGAACTTCGATATCCTAAGCTCAGATGGGAAATAATACCGCTCGAAATAGAAATCATAGATATCATAGGATGCGTTCTATCTAGATTCAGCAGCTCTTCCGCCAATTGTGATCGAACGTCACCGAAAAACCAGCACGCTGTATTATTCTTTACTAACTACCGTACTATCCAGGCTTATTGTGCTCACGACGGCACCGAAGTGAAAAAGTTTCATGAAGTGATACAACTAGATCTCGAATACAGGCGCTTGCAGGCCAACGAACAATTCAACGGACAAACCTACGAACAGTTCACGAAAACAGCTTTCGAAAACATTCACCGTTGCCTCATCTGGGATCAAGAATTTCCCTGCAACGAGGAAATGGACGCGTTATCACCCAGAGATGTCAACACGAATATTTGTGCGAAAACAGCGGTGCAGAAAACAGCTCCTCCAACCAAGCTAGCAAGAGAAAAGGATCACCCTCCACCACCACCTAGTGAGGTACCGGAACCACCTTGTTCGGATCGAAAAGATGGATCTATATACAAGACCGGCCGTTGTCTTGGGAAAGGTGGATTCGCTATTTGTTACGAAGGTCAACTCAAAGGGACGAGGAAGAAGTACGCCTTGAAGATTGTCAAAAGCCACATGTCACAGAAGAAGATGGAGCAAAAGGTCAGCCCAATGGCCTTTAATAACAGTAATATCGTGAACTAAACCCGTGTGATAGTTTCAAACCGAGCTTCAAATCCATTCAAAGATGAATCATCCAAATATTGTTCGGTTCTACCGAGCCTTTTCACACGATCAATGCACTTACATAGCTATGGAACTCTGCCCTAATGGTTCGTTAATGGATATGGTCAAAAAGAGAAAGTATCTTACGGAGCCGGAAGTTCGTTTCTACACCGTCCAGATTGCTGGAGCTATCAAATATATGCATGCAAGAGGCATAATACACCGCGATCTGAAGATGGGAAACATCTTTTTGGACAAGGATATGAACGTTAAGATTGGGGATTTCGGACTCGCAGCATTACTCATGTCGAATAAGGATATGGCAGCATGCAGAAGGACAACTCTATGTGGAACACCAAATTACATTGCGCCTGAAATCTTATCCAAAAACAATGGTGGACACGATCATGCAGTTGACATATGGAGTTTGGGTATCATTATGTGAGTCAGCATTTCGTAGTTCTAAAGCGTTCTCCATAACTGACCTGATATACTTCAGTTTTGCCATGCTTACCGGAAAACCTCCATTTCAGTCTGCTACAGCCGATGAAATCTATCGGCGTGCAAAGGAAAGAGAATATACGTGGCCACAACATTTCGTCAGTGCCAATATGATCTCACCAGAGATTCAAGATTTGGTATCCACCATGTTACAGGATGCAGAAGAACGTCCACACCCAGATATCATCGTGCAACATCCATTTTTCACCTGCGGCTGGATGCCCCAAGTTGAAGAGATGAGTGCCGATTTACTAGAGGATCCTCCAAGGCCAGATCAATTCCTTTCAGTCGTTGTCAAGCCTGGCAAGCCGAATCCATACGCTCGAAGCCTCAAGAAGTTATGCATCAAATGTGAAGTTGGTCCTTGGACTCCAAAAAAGCAGTATACAAGTCTTTACAAGGAGTGTGCTTTAGAAGAGAAAGCCGGTCTTACGCCTAACGTGCCACTCGCCGAGGGTATTGTCTACCGTCCGTACTCCGAATATGTCAGAGAGCAAAACCAACAAAGTGTTGAAGAGAAAGCTGCCACTCAGATGGAGGCATCTAGTACAGTTGTGGATTCGCTCGTTTCCGATATGGCAGAGTCAAATCTTGCACCGTTAGCCAAAAAGCCCCTCTCACAAAGAACCGTTTCTCAAAGAGTTGCTAGTCAAAGCTTTGCGGCACAGCAGCGCATCAAGGATCAGCCATTAAATACCGCTTCAATCAGAGGCGCCCTTCCTCGACGACCGCTCCAAAGAGAAAACAATACTAGAGAGCCTGCCAGTAACACAACCGAGATCAAACCTCCCCGTAGTATTCTCAAGACCAAAACTATTCCATCTGTTCCACAAATCTCTTCCGAAGCTGAGGGGCGCCTTGCAGCTGATTTGGTGGACGAGTTGCAAAAGGCGGAAGAGGAACGAAAATCACAGGAACTCAAGAAAAAACAGTCTACTAAGAAGGTTGTTTCGCTATTTTCACCCCAAGAAAAATTGGAGTGGTTACCAGGTAGCAAGCCAGACCACATTCTCGAAGCCCTACAACGTCTCCAGGTGGAGTTAGACCGAGCTTTGAATAGTAGATCCATTGCAGCCACTCCGAAATCTAGGCCCACAACCCCTGCTATAGTTGTGAAGTGGGTAGATTATACCAACAAATATGGGCTTGGATATATTCTCAGTAATGGAAGTGTGGGTTGTGTCTTTAGGGAAACACCGGCTGGTTCTCCAGAAAGTGAGGATAACGTCATCGCTCCTTCTTGCATTGTTATTCGCGACGGAGAGAGGCATCTCGCGAATCGAACCAACAAATCGTACGTACACAGGCATCAGATTATTCCAATTTCTGGTCCCAATGTAGAATTTTATGAAAGCAAGGGTGAGAGGGGAATGATCCGTGGATCGGTCCCTGCCAAGACTTATAGAGTTGCTGAGAGTCCCGAGGGTCGACCCGGCAGACTCCCTCTGGGTGTAGATTCTTTTGATAATCGCAAACGAGAAAAGATTTGTCTATGGAAGAAATTTGGCAATTATATGTTTGCTTATGGTAGAGATGCTGAGTATCCTTATGAATCATGGACGGCTGGTCAGAATCCCGAGGCTACTGTCAACAGTACAGTCATCACGTTTTATCAGCGATGGGGAGATGTTGGCTGCTGGGGATTCAGTGACGGCCATTTTCAGTTTAACTTTCCCGATCATACTAAAGTTGTCCTTTCAGCGGATGGATTCTGGTGTGATTTCTATCACCTTTCTTTCGAATGTGCACGAGAGCTCACAGAGAATGGAACGCTTCCAACGACTGCCCTTGATGAGCGACAACATCTCTCCTATCCTCTGCAAACACTTCTTAACTTCATGGCCAAGCCGTCGAGGGCAGTGAAACCCACTTCACGCAAACGTCCCGATATTGATCCAATGATTCAAGGTCTTCCTCAAGCAAATGACTTTAGAAGAAAGGTTGAATTCATCAGATGTGCAGTCAAAGAGTGGGTACAAAATGGTGGTCTTGGAATCAGCGATATGGAGCCCAAGACACGTTTACGATGGATGGGACATCGTGAAATATACGACGATAAGAAGCTCAAGCATGTTTGGACTACAGTTGGAGGGCGTCGCGGAGACGAAAGACGAGTTGCATGGTATGATCCTCGCAATCCGCAGGAAGTAATTTTCGATGCCGAAGTTAATGGGGTTATGGTTGAATGATTTGGTCTTTGGCGTTTTCCAGATTACGACGAATTTCAGAATTCAGCATTAGCTGCACGGTTACGGCAATATCATAAATGATAATATCGCTGGTGCGAATCAGGAGTTCTTGGGAGTATCAATTGATATATTGAGAAATTTGGGGTCGATGGCATTCGTTGTGCAATACATGCACGGCGTTATTCATTCTCGATCATGAATAAATTTCTTATTGCTGCATTTTTTCTTGCGTCTCATTCATCCATCAAGTTCAAATACCTCTTTGCATGCATAGCATCTGGATTGGAGTTTTGCGTATATCATAAAAATTATGAAGTTTGATGAGCAAGCGGGGCTCTTGCTGGTGCTTGTCATTGGCTTTTGGCTCCCTTTTCCTATTTTTCAATTTAGCTGAGCTGATAGGTTGTTTTCTCGTCGGCTAATGGGAGGGCATTTCATTGTAGGGATGGGTACCTTCGCCCGGAGAGTACTTAAATACTAAATTAATGGCATACATAAAGCGTACTACATGATTTATCTGGTGCGATAGTGTTGATGGAATCAATGATTCCTGGTGAAATGTGATGAATTATTTGTGTTGTTTTTTTGTTCGAGAGAATTCGGGTGTATTGATTATACCAGCTTGATTGCAATCGTCGTAGTGAAGAGGTGGGCAAATGCAGTGGTTATCGCCGGTGAGGGAAATGAATTATGTTACAAAGGAAGAACACAGAAAAATTCCTCGAATAATCAAAGGGGAAAGGAATCGATGGTCGAAAATTAGAAAAGGGAATGGAAGAGGTAAGCGAATTAACAGTGCTTTTGATTGGTTATTAGGAACATCATAAAGGGCCAGATACGTCTCGATTCGACGCCTAGAAAGGGAATTAAATTGAGACGCTTATATCATGATTCTTATTTGATTATGATAAAAAAGAGGCAAAGTGGACATTGGAGAAGCATGAGGCGGGAAAGAATAATTCAGATAAAGATCGGATCTAAAAGCGTTTGAGAAAATGAAATGAACAGTGTGTCTCTTCTGTCCCCTGATGTTGTATCTATAGACTCTCTGATTTTAGTGATATGAGTGGTATCGTCCTGTCCTGCAATTAAATCCTTCTCGATCGCATAGCATCCAAATCATGAAGCTCCGCCTACCCGTTCACACCGAGAACCCCTCTCCGTTATTAATATCAAATCCCTCAAACACCCATTCCCCATCTTGGCGCATTCAAAATGAGACCCATCAAACACCCCGAAATGATACCCGTAATCGGCAACGTGATGATCCATCCCATATAAATCCATCCCACCATTCGCCAATTAATACTCTTTACATCCCCATTCACAAGTCCGACTCCAACTGTAGCTCCAACGATACATTGGGTAGTAGACACCGGCAATGCAAGCCGGGTGGCCATAATAACAGTTATAGCAGAACCGAGCTCCATGCAAAATCCCCGAGAGGGAGAATGCAGTGTTAATCGATTGCCGAGATTGCGCATGATGTTGTATCCGTATGTCCAGAGACCGATGACGAGAGCACCGGCTCCGTAACATAGAATCCATTCTGGTACAGGTGACTTGGATTGGATGGAACCGGTATGCCAGATGAAATAGATGGCGGCAAGAGGTCCAACGGCGTTGGAGACATCGTTGGCTCCGTGAGCAAAGGATGCAGTGGCGGCAGTTAGTACTTGTAAGAATGAATAGGTGTGCTCGGCCTTGTTGTCGTAGTGCGTTGCGCGGGCATGCATGGCTTCGAGATCGCCGGTAAGAATAGAGGATTTCTTCTGTTCGGCAACGACATCGACGGAAACGCCGTGGAAAAAGATTCGTTTCGCTGTGGCTAAGAATGTTTTAGGTTCATACCAGGGTTTTGCCGATGTGGTATCTTCATTTGTGATGACGGGAGTTGCTCTTGTCTCATCTCTTGTTGAAGAACCAATATCCGAAGGAGCAGGTGAAACAAATGAAATACCATGCTTTTCATCTGTATCCTCGTTTGCTTTTGATTCAACATCATCACTGGGTAGAGTCCTAACATTATCCGAGCCTTCGGCATCAAGCTCTGCGCGCGTCTTATGCCCTTTGTAATAATTCTGGATGATCTCGCGTCCAGAGGTGTTAGGAGGAACTTCTCCACGTCGAAGCAGCAATGGGCCTTGAGGAATATGCCACCAGTAAAGTTGCCAATCGTTGAGCACTAGTTTTCGGTACAGGAATGGGAGGAGGAAAATAGCAGATAGAAGAGCGCAACCTATAGCGGTACCGAAAATCACACCCACGTATTCGCCGGGTCCCCATGTTTTGACGGCTGCTGATGCGGAAGCGGCGCCTTTCCATACAATAAGCACTTTTTGACAAAGAGTTAGCTAGGTTTCCACAGGTCTCACTTATGAAAGGAACTTGGGTAATGCGACATACTGGTTAACAAGCCCGTGGTAAGTCCAAAATAGAATGGAATACTAATAAGTGCAGCGCGCACTGGATCCTTTCGTTTCATGACACCGTACTTTGTGACCAAGAAGAGGATAGCTGCAAAAGCACCAGCAATCCCTGGTGCGATAACCCAGGCTGCAAATACCTGTGATACTCCATTCCAGCCCCAGTTAACTCCATCTCCTCCTATCGCTGCAACACCTACTCCTATCACCCCTCCAATAATACTATGGCTGTGGGATTGCTTAGTGAGATGATTGATAACTTGTATAAGGATCATACTTACGTAGTGGAAACAGGAAGACCTAGCCTTGTGGCCAGAGTTAAATAAAGAGAAGAAGATACTAGAGCACATGTCATTCCCAACATCAAGACAGACGGTTCTGCCTCGAAAGCCTTAGTTGAAAGAATTTTGCCTCGGATAGTGTCTGCAACACGAGCACTGAAGATTTATAAGAATCAAAAGGGTTGGTATAGCAAGAAATTAAGACAAACTTACCCAACACCAACAGCACCACCAAATTCCATTACAGTAGCTATCATCATAGCTTGCTTCATCGTCAACGATCTGGAAGAGACGGATGTGGCGAATGAATTCGCAACATCATTTGCACCTGTTTTGGGTATCAGTAACTGGTTTAGGAGGGCTGGAAATGGGATTACGGCACCGATGTTCCAAGCATCGAGGAAAGCAAATAACATGCCAATGGCAAAAATGTAGTCAAATTGTTCGAGGACTGCCATCTTAATTTTAGATATCAAGCTCACAGAAACGAAGGTTTGACTTTTGTTGTTGTGATAGCAGCCATATCTACGGGAGTCTACAGTTATATATTCACGTCCCAGAAATCCAGAACTGATATTCAATATGCCGCATCCCAAGAACATAACGATTTTGGTCTCTTGGAAATCTCCTATTCTTCTTGGTATTCACAATCATCACTGTTGTTGTGGACCTTCCAAACTTTTCGTGTTGGTTTTTATCGATTCAACATTGTGATACGGACGAGATGGGATTGATTCCAAGAAATCCCAAGAAGTCAAGATCTTGGTATAGGAGTAGCGAGAGCCTGAGAAGCACTACACGTGGAGGTTCTTAGCGATCTCATTGGAGAGCCTCACTCCATCCTACCATTAAGTCTTTGAGGCTGTGACTACAGCGTAGGAAAGCTTTATCTAATACCTAGAATTCAAATCATTGCTTGAGAAAAAATGATTTGTGCAACAGACATGTGCGATGAACGGGGCTCTGATTGGCTGAAGTTTGAAAATTGTGGGTGATGTGGCTGAATGCCGAAGCGTTAGAAAGTGCTAAATCCTCATGACAGTCGAACGAGGAATTACAGTAGATCCCTTCCAAAGCAGTTCAGTGAGGGGTTGCGCTGTCACGCCGTCTCCCCCAATTTGTGAGGACCTTTGGATTTCTCACGTGACTCGTGACCACATGTCAGAACAGACGTAAACACTCGCAAGAACCTTGGGGAAGATGAAATGTCTATACTCCAGTCTATTTGTATTGCATGTGACAAACGCTTCATTTTGAAAATTGGGCCTCTTTCATAATGATGAAAAATCAGAGAGTGAAAGCATGACTGATTGACTGACATCCGTCGCAATTCACTTCTTCGAATACGTCGGACCTTCTTGCACACCACACACCCACTTGGGCCGCAGGCTTTATGAGATATGAGAATATGATACATCCTGCTCCTTCATATCGCGATCGGAATGTCGCGCGCAGCAAGCGATTACACGGTACCTCTGATATTCGGTGTACTCCGAGTAATTTCTCCCGGAGTGTCATGAATTGGCCTTCATGTTTTTCGTCGTCGATTCTCTCAACACTTGTTTATGACTGAAAAATGGTCATTTGCGCGCTTCATAAGCAGGAAGATATACTGATCACAGTACAGTACTGTCTCTTCTAGCTTTATTGCAATCATTGTACTTCAATTGTCTTGGGTTGCTTGATTTTATGTATCCTTGGTGTCTTGAGGTTTTTGTTCTTGAGCTTGAACTGGTTATTTTTCGCGCCTGCAGTGTACACCCCACATTTTGAGTCCGTCCGAGTGACTTCCGATAAATAGGCAGGCTCGAGGTAGGTACATGGAGAATCGTGGCCACCATCGAATGATATCAAATGAAGTCATGTAGTCATTCCTAACCACTCTTTTCAAGCAAGTGCTTTCATCCGCCTTGGTGCGACGAATCTTTTCCTTCGGCGCTTCCAGAAACGGATGTACTTTGAGTGATACTAGCACAAACAATCATTGAAATTGATAGGGCTTTTTGGATTATACAGCTCTGATCATCTGAGTTTGTAGGTCTAAAGTATCAAAATGTTCTCGTTGCATTGACTGAGTTGCAGAGATTTTCCAAGGCAACGCTCCAATATATATCTTCTGTCATTGGATTCCTATCAAGGACCTTACGATCCATCATACTTCACGATCTAGCACAATTATACACTCCATCGGTCTCTAAATTCTTACACAAGAAGTCGGAAAAATATACTACCATGCTCAAAGCACAGGAACCAAAATGCTAGAGACTTTCTAGACTGATGGTTTATATTCGAG